TTTATGAGACAGAATAAAGGGCTATATTCGTAATTAATCTTTAACTTGATTACTCGTAATTAATCTTTAACTTGATTACTCTCTTTGTATTATTAGAAGCCAATCAGAGTCTGTGAGATCGTAAGAGAGGGGATGTGGGTCAAGACAAGTAGAATTATAATGAATATGTTATGTATATGTATATGTATATATATATATATATGTATATGTATATGTATTTGTATATGTATATGTATTCTTCTAAGTGTTTCCTCTAAGAAATTATTCTAAGTGTTTCCCCAAAGAAATTATTCTAAGTGTTTCCTCTAAGCAATTCTTCTAATTGTTTCCTCTATTTCCTTTAAAGAAATTCTTTTATGTCTAGCTAAACGATCACACTTTACTTTACTTCACTTCACTTCACTTTACTTTACTGCACGAGTGACCCCCACCAGGCCTGGCGACTGAAGAAATGCTGCAGCTGATGCCCTTTATATAGGTCGACTTTCACTCAACCACTACGACGCGCTCAAATGTTGAGCCCGACGCCAGGGGTCGTTGCAGTTGAGCATAAAGTGACCAATGAGAACAGTCTCTTCTAATGCGAGCAGTCCAGCATCGTTTTACTCTAATATAAATACCAAATGAGTCCTGCTGCAACACACACACATACACAAATAATCGTGAAGAAAGTACTGCCTCTAATTATTTATGCTGTGTTTCCTTTAAAGAAATTCTGCTATGTCTCTAGCATTGCTAAACGATCACACTTCACTTCACTTCACTTCACTTTACTTTACTGCACGAGTGACCCCCACCAGGCCTGGCGACTGAAGAAATGCTGCAGCTGATGCCCTTTATATAGGTCGACTTTCACTCAACCACTACGACGCGCTCAAATGTTGAGCCCGACGCCAGGGGTCGTTGCAGTTGAGCATAAAGTGACCAATGAGAACACTCTGCCACTGCAAGCAATCCAGCACCGTTTTACTCTAATATAAATACCCAATGAGTCCTGCTGCATACATATAGACAACTTAAATGATCTTCTGCCTCTCTTTTCTTATGCAGTGACCCAGAGAGGCAGACGGAGAGACAGGCTGTGAGATAGACAGATATACGAACAAATATATAGCCTGAAATAGGCTAACAACACTGATGATATGTATGTTCATATTGATATATATATACGAATATGTATGTATATACATACATATACTCGTATGCAAGACACCCAGAATAATGAAAATAATGCTCATTCGCAATGTTACAGGGTGTACAGAACTAACGAAAAATCCAATTAGCTATTATAATTCATAAAAATTCTAATTTGATTTGAATAGCAAATTTAAAAAATTAAATTTTTTACAGCCAATAAGTGTGTTTATTAAAAGTTATTTATTTAGGTGTTTATAAAAAGAAACCTAGCTATTTGATATTTTCAGTCAGCCGTTGCTCCAGGATAACGCTCGAGAAGCATGGCCACGCCTTGCCCACCAGCGGCACACGCGGCAACAACACCAAGCTTGCCATCCTCACGGACCAGGCGGTTGGCCGTATGCATGCATAGACGAACGCCTGTGGCAGCAAATGGATGACCGATCGACAGGGATCCACCCCAGTTGTTCCACTTGGACAAATCGGGAGTTCCGACCTTTTCGCTGAGACCCAGATATGTTTTACAGAACCAATCAGAATCCAAAGCTTTCAAATTGGCAACGATCTGACCAGCAAAAGCTTCGTGAATTTCCCAGCTATCAATATCTTTAAGTGTGAGTCCAGCTTTCTTGAGCAGTTTTGGTATGCCATAGGCAGGACCCAATAAGAGTTGATTAACAGGATCTTGAGACACATACAGGAAATCGCGTAGATATGCCTTTGGTTTTAAGCCCAATTGCTTCGCCTTCTCCTCTGTCATTATGAGACAAGCTGAGGCGCCATCGGACTAAAAGTGAACAATGTTAACTTTGGAAATTTAAAGCCAGAGAAAAAGAAAACTTGCCAAAAAGGAAGCATTGGCCGCAGTAATTGTGCCATAAGGCTTCACAAAAGCCGGCTTTAGTTTGGCCAAACTTTCTGGACTTGACACGCGAATGCCGTTGTCCTTGTCGACGACTTGATCAACGCCTCGCACTAAAATCATAAATAATTGATTAACTAGATTGAGTAACATTATATAGCACTTACCCTTGAAGGGCACCAAATCTGTAAAGTATCCACTTTCCTGAGCCTTCTT